ATATCCAGAAAATTTGTCTTGCATTTTCAACATTTATACGTGCACACTGGCATTCATCAAAATTTTGATGTATTAATCTATAAAAATGCCTTTATGAACCCGGCTCTGTACCTATGAACATCACATCTTTTAATAATTGTTATTTACCTAGGATTTTTTTAAAAAATCATTTTTAAAGTGCTGAAATGATGGAGAATTGTATTGCTGCGATTAAATGAGGTATGGGAACTGACTACTGCATTCTGTGGATTCTATTTACCTGAGTACTTATTTGCTTTTACTTTATTGAAAAGATTAGTGTTTTTGTCTTGAAGTGGTACAGAAAAAGCTCCCAGCTTTTCTTCTTTAAGATGCTATTGTGTTTCTGCCACCATTTTTATATTCAACTGTAATAAAGTATGTATTGTACAGAATGCTTTGGATGTTCTTGACTGAGATTTACAACTGAACTTTTTAATACTCTTCTCTAGTGTTTGTAAAGTAAGTCTCCAGGAAAAGGAAAAGGAATCCTGGGTGTAAAATGAATCCTGACAGTTTATATCAGGTGTGTCCATTTGTGGCCCATGGGCCACATGTGGCCCTGGACAGTTAGTAATGCGGCTCTACGAGATCATAAACTTTTAACATTATTATCTTATTTATATACATTAACTATTTTATATGTTTTATATGCAGCCCAAAACAATTCCTCTTTACTCAATGAGGCATAGTCAAGTGAAAAGTTGGACACCCAGGGTTTATATCATAAAACTTAAAATATCATCAAAAACAACATAAAAATAATACTGTAATCAGGATGCAAGAATAGGAACTTCTGTTTCAGTAGTAAAATGTCTCCCCAGTCTAAAAATTCATGCCTAAAGGAAGTATTTGTGTTATAAGACGTGTGAAGTTCATGAGAAAAGTCACAATGCTCCAACCCAAAGCTCTGTCGAGCAACAGATCTTTTTTCTCAAAAGGGCCAATCAGAGGATTTCAGGAAATCTTCCAGCGCTGATTGTGCCTTACTCTGATTTTCCAGCAAGCTGTGACATGCAACCTTGGAGATCAGTGGAAACATAGTGTTTATACTGACAGAGAAGAGTCTTTGTAACAAATAGCTCCTGGTTGCCCACGATTCCATTGTCTAAATATTGCAGCAAGAAACATCTTATCTATCTGAATCTCCTATCCAGGGCTTGTCTGGATTTTGCATTCCAGATATGATATACTTGCTATACCCACCTTTAATTGCCACAACACAGGACAACACCGCCTGCACCGACAGCCCTGCCCAGCCAGTCCACTTCTTCTGTAGCCGAAGGAGCAGCTTCATTCTGCAGCTGCATTCTGGCCTACATTTCATAATCAGGCCTTTCCAGAAGGTCTCTGCAGCTGAGTACTGAGTTATGGATTCAATCCATAGCTCGGTTCTCGGCTGCAGTGGCCTTTCCAGAAATGCAGGCCTGACTGAGAAATGTAGGCCTGGCTGCCTGGCTGAAAGATAAGTGGGTGTGGGGTTCATGGGGCAGATCCACACCCACACCCCCGCCCTCGCTTGATTTTTAAGTTTGTGCCTCACCCCGAAACTAGGGCTTATTTTTGGGGTAGGGCTTATATTAGGTCCACCCCCCAAAAATCAAGCTAGGGCTTATTTTTGGGACAGGCCTTACTTTCAGGGAAAACAGGGTACCACTTGTTCAGTGCTGTTGCAAGTTCAAATGGTCACTGATCAAGTAGTCATTAATGAAGGAACACTTATACTGTCATATGATTTGTTCAGTCAGTTTACAATTTAAAAAAAAAAAATCTTAAAATATTTTTAAAATGTACATGCCAAATGAGCAGAATCCAAACAAAACAAACATATTAATTCCAGGTCTAACCATAGTTTTCTGTCTCATAGAATCAGAACATTGCCATGCTATTTGCATACTAGTTGCAGAGACAATTCCAGGAGTGTAAACATAGCTAAGAGCTTTGTTCCTTTAAATGGAATTTATTGGGAGCTGTGTGAGATGTATGTATGTATGTACGTACACATGCATACCCAAGAAGAACTAAGTATAAGCAAGAGTTCTTAGCATAAGAGCATTCCTACAATGATATCCTGATTATCAAACTTTTCTCAGAGGTATTTGGATGGCTGCTGTAGGAACAGAAAAATTGACTCAGTCTGTCTTTGATCTGGGCCAATATGGCTCTTACTGTGTTAATACCCTAATTGATATTAGTGAGCTAATTGCTTCCACATCAGAGCTCTTAACTAAAGTACAAGATTACTATCAATTTAAAATGTATATTGTGTTGTTTGTATTTCATTTCAATTTTTTAAATAACAAAAGCCCCTTTAGAATAAATGTTTGTTTAATGTTATTGTAACCGCTATAATGCAATACTCATTTGTTCGGACAAAGAATTATCCATGCTGTGTTATTATTTTCTTTAAAAATAAATAAAATGAAATTTGTTTAAAGTTATACTTTGAAAAATTCAAAAGGCATGAGTTTGCAAAACACATTCACCATGCAATTTCTAGAACCCTGTCAAGATATCACTAGGCGTAATGTTCTTCCTTCACTTGCTGTGAATTGAGGTCTTAACATTTTGTAATGAACGAAGGTTTTGGTTAACCTTGGCTCTGGCAGACCTCATTAAAATAGCAGCCTGTCAGTTTCAAGTTTTAAAATATCAGTCCTGTCAGTTTTTTATTCAACAGAATAATCTACAATTTTATTTAGGATATATTTTGCATGGAGTTGTGTGTCCCAAGGAGTGGGAAAAGAAAGCATTAGTCAATATTGCCATCTAGAGGACAAGAAAGTCAAAAGTCTTGTCATACATGAAAGGACCAGTAACAATTCTTGAAATATCACATGGATACACACACACACACACACACACACACACACACACACACACACACGTGCGCGCACGCAAAAGACTTGGAATAGCAGAAAAGAAGAGTACAGTAACATATTTTTATACTGGAATTATTTAATATTATTATAGTTAGTCAGATATAGTTAGGATTTAAAATCTAATTCTTCCCAGATGTTTCTGTTGTTTTTTTTTATTTCTGCTATCTATGTTTCTGTCTTCATGATGGGCTTTACATGCAGACCATTATCCAGCAGTCCCAGAAATACCTAATGATGAAGTTCTATATATTTATATATTAGCTTTTCATCTCACCTTCATTACTTTATAAGTAACTTAAGGCAGCGAACATTACGTACTGTAATCCTCCTTCATCCTCCTATTTTACCCACAAAAAGAACCCCATGAGGTGGGTTGGGCTGAGAGAAAATGATAGACCCAAAGTTACCCAACCAGCTTTCACGTCTAGGTCAGGACTAGAATTCTCGCCTGATTTTTCTAGTCTGATGCATTAATCACTAGACCAAACTGGTTCTCATTAGGTATTACAGAAACATCAGTAATAATAAGTAAGGCAACTTACGAATTACTGCATTAATCACTGGATTTAATGCAGATAGACCCAGTAAATATACCTGGCAGGTCTGTGCAAAGATCTTGATCTTCCATGATTTTTATTTGTGTCTTATTGTGTCTCGCAAGTGAAAAGATAGATGAGAATCAGCAATGATATGCATTAAAAGATATGCATTAAAAAGATACTGAGGCCCTTCTAATAGCTTGATTCTAGAGTTATTAGAGGAGGTATGGATGTGGTAACTTCACAATGGTAACTTAAATCCATTTCTAGAAAGAATAAGAGCAAAAATGCTGCCTCGTAGAGGTGACAATGTGAAGTCACAGTCACTGCTCAGGAGTTGCTACATGTTTTTAGATGTTTTTAGAGTATATGTAGGGAGATGTACAGTTTTGGTGGCCAATGATGCCTCCATCCAGCCTGAGTGGGATACCATGAATTTCACAAGTGTTGAATCCGAGTATTTCCACTCTCCTTGCATTTGAATAATGCATCTGTGTTCCACTCTCCCTGCATTGCACAATGCACCTGTGTGTAAGCCAGGTGTGTTTCATCTAGGGGGGAGGGGTGTTGTGTCCTGAGCCTGCAAGAGCTGAAAACAGGCTCAGAATTGTTGCAAGTGGTCCCGGGCAATCCAAAAGCTACCCGGGATCAGACAGAGGGCACCAGCCTTGTGCACATGCGCAAGGCGTGAAAATGGTCAGTTCCTATTGGTTCACACTGTCCTGGTTTCAGGCACTATAAAAGGCCTGTGTGCCTTTTGATGTTTGCTTGGTTGTAGGAGAAAAGTAATAAAGAGCTTGTTGTTTTTACCATGTGTCTTCATCAATTGCCAACGAACGGAAAACATAACAGTATCCAAAGCAGAACATCCAGATTCAGTCACAGTTTTGTTCCATACAACATTAAGTTTGTGAACTCTCAAGCTTCCTTTTTCCACTAGGTATTCAAGATGGACAGTGATTAATATTTATATGTATTTATATGTAAGAGTGTAGGTATATAAATATGTTGTATATAGCATGTTTATATGTGTGTTATGTATGTGTACACTTTTGAGAGAAGGCAACAGAATTTCATTTTTAATTTGTGCCAGGGTGCCTGCAGTAAAAAATGACAATAAAGGTTATCTTACTAACTCTTTCTTATTCCCCCACTGGTTATCTGGTTTTCCACATGCTGTGAAAATCATTGTTTCACCAGTCAGCCCAGAAAGGACCAGTGAAGACATAGTTCTTCCTTCTCCAAACTATTAAGCAGCCGCATGTCCCCAAAGGCAACATCTGTTTGGATCAGTTTGCTAACATTCCCACATTTCAAAGCATATGATTGTCACTGTAGGCTCCATCAGCCAGGATCCAGCCAGCCTAGCATATCCTGGGTTGTTGCAGCTGAGACACTGGGATATGTCATTCAAGGATCCAGGATCCTGTAACTTGATCCTGACAAGGATCAGATACACTATGTTTATTGAGTTCTTTCTTTGTTACCGCCACAAGAATATTTTTCAGAAACAGGCTCTACCGTGTTTTAACCAAATACCTTCCCTTTGTCTTACGATTAGGTAACTGACATTAAAGAAAAACTAAAGCTTTCCAAAAAGTTCTGGTCTACATTACCCTACACCATCTGCAAGGAAGAAGCAGTGACTGGTGGCATGTCTAATGAAGAGGACTGTTGGAATGGACACACCAAAGCTAAGTAAGTGAGAAAAAAGCCCATGAAAATAATATTTACAAGTGAAACTCCCATGTAGGGTATAGAAGGTTTTCCTCTGCTTTGTTACTCTCTGTCAAATGAATACAAAGAACACTGGCATTCTTTCTCCAGAACTAATGAAAATGTCTCTCTCTCCATTGTAATTGGAATACTTTGAAAAAATACATGCAAATGCCAGAAGTTCCGTATTATTGGGGACAAATTCCTTGTGTGTCCAATCACACTTGGCCAATAAAGAATTCTATTCTATTCTATTCTATTCTATTCTATTCTATTCTATTCTATAGATAGTATCAGTGTAAGAACCTATGCCAAAACCCATAATAAATTTATAACATTATGAGTACCGTACTTTCTGGCATATAAGACGACTTTCACAAGCGTTAAAATCGGCGCTGGAGTCAGGGGTCGTCTTATACGCCGGAAATAACGGTAGTTTCCAGCGTATAAGATGACTTTCTAGGCATGCGACTCGGCACCGAAGTTGGGGGTCATCTTATACGCCGGGTCGCCTTATGCACTGGAATATACGGTATATGATTTGTAAAAAAAACCTTGCATATTGTATTTATTAAATGTATATGCCACCCATCTCATTATCAAATACCTCTAGGTGGCTTATGTCTCCTTACAACTTATAACTTACATCTTTTAAAAAACATGTTGGGTTAAATTCCTCTGTGTGCGTATGTATGTGTGAATGAAGAGTAAAAGGAAAAGATTACTATAGGCCTATGCTGAGAAGGCTTGCCAAATTTGTTACTTTAACCTGTCAGACAAAAAGGAGAGGGTTGTTAAAAAAGATACCAAAAGAAGATGAAGCTTCTCAATGCTTTCCCCCCCCCTAAAAACCTATATGCATTAGAGACATTTTTTTTGATTAGTTAAATGCATTGATTTTCAAATTTATCTGGCAATGGAAAAAAGCCAGAATAAGACTGAAATTGCTACAAGAAGCAAAAGAAAACGGAGGATTTGGGCTACCAGACTGGGTTCTATACTATCAAGCAGCTGCATTAACATGGCTAAAAGAATGGATAGCCCTTAGACACAAAAGACTACTATACCTAGAAGGACATGACCTACAACTTGGATGGCAAGCCTTTCTATGGTATGGGAAGAATAAAATGCATAAATACTTTCAAAATAATTATATAAGAAATGCCTTGCTTTTGACATGGGAAAAGATAAAAATGAAAAAATATATGAAAATGCTAGCATGGATCTCGACAATGGAAGCGTTTGTGCACCCAAATTTAATCAACTATGAGAAACTTGTATCATACAAAGACATTTTGGATACTGATGGAAAATTACAAACTAAACAAGAACTGGAAGAACAGGATATTGAGCTATCATGGTGGCCACACTTGCAAATGCAAATGAGATACAAAAAAGAAGCTAAAACATATGTTTTCTATAAAGATCAAACAGTGTTTGGCCAGATACTATTGTTATCAATGAAAAATTGATCAAGAAACTCTATAAATTTTTGTTAAGCCTCAAGATGGAAGATGAATAAGTTAAAGAAACAATGATAACTTGGGCAAAAAATTTTGGGCACAATGTAAAATTAGAAAAATGGCAAAACTTGTGGGAAAGAAACTATAAAATAATGAGGGCAGCTAATTATAAAGAAAACCTATATAAAATGATTTATAGATGGCATATACTGCCTGCAAGATTAGTAAAAATGTTTAAAAACATGTCTAGCAATTGTTGGAAATGTAGGCAAAAGCCAGGCACATACTATCAACTTTGGTGCACATACCCTAAAGCAAAAAAAAATTAGTCAAAAATGCACATGTGGTTACAGAAAATGTTAAGAAAACATGTAGATTTTAAGCCAGAATTATTTCTTTTAGGTATAATTACAGAGAAGTATGATAAAAAATGTATATACTTAATATTACATGTATTAACAGCAGCAAGGATTGGAAAAACAAAGAAACACCATTAGAAGAAGATATAATCAGGAAAATTTTAGATTGTGCGGAAATGGATAGGCTTACACTGAAAATGAAAGGGGAAGAAGATACAGAATATTTCCAAACATGGGATAATTTCTATAAGTGGCTGGAAAAATGGAGTAGAGAGTAGAAATGGAAGTTGTATTACTATTAATGTTAAATATGTGAACCCAGACAACACATTGTTTATTAAGCACTAAAGATTTGTAATTATAAAAACTTAATAAAATATCTATTTAAAAAACTATATGCACTTTTGAAGAACACAGTTAACAATATGGATCTATGGATCATTAGTCATTTTTTACTTTTGCTATAAAATTGTAGTCCCAGAAAGTACTGGTCTTAGATTATGCTCTGTTATGCTCATCATTTCTAAATTTCTGACCATTTTTTCAGGCCCATCACTGCATTCTCAGTGCATTCTGGAGCACATTTTAAATGGAATGGGACAACTTTCCACAGCAAGTTGTGGCCACCTTTCCGCAGCCAACTCACCATGGCCAACTTGCTGTGGGACAACTCGCTGCAGGACAATTTAACAATTCTATTGAATTATTTAAAATAAATAAAAAAATATTTTAATTTTTGTCATTCACATTTCCTTCTTTCCTCATTTTGCATCCTTTCTTTAATGATTCTGTTCCACCATTTCTTTGATATTAGTGTAACTCTTGTCCTGCAGCAAGTTATCCTGCGGCAAGTTGGCTATGGTGAGTTGGCCATGGCAAGTTGGCCGCAGTCAGCTGTCATAGACCCCACTTTAAGGTGTGCAAATCAAATGGTCTTGATAAATCTGTTAGTTTTCTAACAGTCTGCATGCATCCTGTACCCTAAATACACTCAACAGCCCAATACACCTGTAGAATTGCATATTCATAAGGAACTCCAGTCTTTCTGGGCCTAGGCAACAAAAAATTAGCTACCGGTTCTGCTGAAGTGGTGCGAACTGGCTGAATCCCACAAGTATCTTATCTTAAAGTTATGGCAAACGTCCTTATTTATGATTAGGCAGGGGTCTCTTTATCTGAAGCTAAACAATGGGCATTTTATGCTTCCAATATGTGTGTTTTTCTATGCAGGTAATCCTTGACTTACAACAGTTCATTTAATGACCGTTCAAAGTTACAAAGGCATTGAAAAAAGTGACTTATGACCATTTTTCACACTTAATGACCATTGCAGCATTCCGGAGGTCATGTGATCAAAATTTAGACGCTTGGCAACTGATTCATATTTATGACAGTGATCCGCATTTTGTGATCTTCTGACAAGCAAAGTCAATGGGGAAGCCAGATTTACTTAACAACTGTGTCACTAACTTAACAACTGCAGTGAATCATTTAACTGGGGCCAGAAAGGTCATAAAATGGGGCAAAATTCACTTAACAAATGTCTCACTTAACAATAGAAATTTTGGGGTCAATTGTGGCCGTACGTCAAGGAGTACCTGTACATAAGATATATTATTTTCCTTTACATAGTTTTTACTACGTATATATATATTCCTTTGTTTATGTTGACAGGAATCAGCTACTGGCAGGATCCAGCATTTCTATCCTTCCTTATTGCAAATATATAAAAATATTCCAACATTTTTTTTAACGTTCTAATTGGAAAGGAAATCTAGTAACCAAGCTTAAGGGGACTGGTTGTCAAAATCTCCAATAGAGTCAGGCAAGGTTGTCTGGACAGAGGGGAAATGTGGGAGGAGAAACATTCAATATCCTTCCATTTGTCTGAAAGGTACAGAGTCTCTTGCCTGAGCAGGGGGCTAGACTAGGAGACCTCCAAGGTCTTTTCCAACTCTGTTATTCTATAGTTCTGTAATTCTGTAATCCTAGTCCCTTTGTTGATGGCTGCATTTTAAATATATATATATCTTTCCATTGGGGGATATACTTCTTTTAGGGCTTGTCCTGATTGGTGTATCAAATTCACAATCCCTCATGGCATATATTGTGCCAAATCACTATCATGCTTTGTCTGGATTTTTGGATATTATATTAGGAACTGGTCATAGGAATGGATACAGAAAAAAGAGGATGTTATTTTCTGATTTGTCTTTTAAGTCAGATGTTGTTCCACTGACCAGAGAATTACTTTCCAAATTTATTTACTTAATTCTTACTGAAATCAGTAGCTCTCAGATAAATACTCAAGGTTCGTTTATTTGAGTTTCATTTACATACTCTGAATAAAACCTAGAGCTTTTAATTCCTGGTTATTCCAACAGAAGGACGTAAAGAAGAGCACAGCAATAAGTCATGCTGATTTTTTTGCATGGAATTATATGTTTCTTTTATGCAAAGTTAACAGTGTTAATTCAGTATACATTACATCCCAGTATAAATAACTGTAAATCATTTCTTTAAAACATAAACAGGTATTACATGAAAATATTCTCTCTCATCTATTTCCCATGGTAAATCAGGCCATTTAGGAATGTTCAAATTTTGAGCCATGGTTACTCAGGAAATACAGTGATTTGTTTGTTTGTTTGTTTGAAAAGAGAACTACTTGTTTGCATCCATTCTAGGAAGACACCCCTCCACGAAACATAAGACACCGTAGAATGAGTGAATGATCCTATAAGCATATTTATCACAAAAGATGTGTCATGGATAAATGTCCTTGTCTCAATGAATAATGCCATGAAAGTGTAATCATTACAATGATGTGTCTTAATTCTCCATTCTGTTGTACAGATATCTACCTGAGATCATGAATGATGGACTCACCAATCAGATAAATAATCCTGAGGTTGATGTGGACATCACCCGGCCTGATACTTACATAAGACAACAAATCATGGCTCTTAGAGTAATGACCAACAAACTAAAAAATGCATACAATGGAAATGATGTAAACTTTCAGGACACAAGTAAGACATTATGTAGGCAATCTTCTCTGCTGCAACCTTGCTTTCTGACTTCTAACACTAGTAGCAATCTGCACTGAAGTTAATGGCTGTCTTCTTCCTCTATCCATTGTTGTAATTGCTTTTGGTGGTTAGACACCTCTGTGGATAGGCATTTGGGCAGAGTAAGTAAGGTCATATCATAAATGGAGGTGGGAACCAGGTTTTTCCATGTTATTCCATTCAGGGTACAGCCAACTTCAGGGCTTACAATACTATTGAATTTGTTTTCCACTTTTGAATGAAGAGGAAACACACTGATAATTTTTCAGCAATCACAGAGTGGAAGCTGAGAGCTGGAAAAGGTGTTTTGAAGACTCTGTGTGGTCTTGAAACTGCTGCTTTTTCTTTAACTTATAAAGAGCAGCCTTATACACGTGAATCAAATGGTAGAGATCTATCCAGCCTTATTTTTACTGTCAGTGGTTATATGAGTTTTCACAGGCTGAGGTCTTCCATGTCTAGCAGTAGAAGGTCCTACAGTGTAAATAAAACCACTTAGAAAGTTTCTACCCTATAATGGGCAGAGGCTGGAGACCCTCAAGCTGCTCTGCTCCTAGATTAAATCATAGAATCATAGAGCTGGAAAGGAATTGGAGGTCTTCAAGTCCAACCCCCCTGCTCAAGACAGGAGTCTTATACCACTCCCAGTCAAATGGTAGTCCAACCTCTTTTTGAAAACCTCCAGTAAGATGCCCACTTAAGGCACCACCGAGTTGGCAGCACCACCACCCTTGTCTAAATCAGAAGATAAGAATTGGTACCCAACTGCACAGATCCCTTTCAGGGAGCAAGAGATTGTGTCCCTCTTACAAAAAGACAGGAAGGGTGTGTGGATATACACACATGTGTAATGTGAAATCTGCTATACAAGAGAGGTCCTCCCCTCAGGAACTAATTATGGAAAAGAAAATGAATATTTAATACTACATGTATTGACAGCAGCGAGAATAGTATTTGCCCAGTTTTGAAAAAAATGAAGATTTACCATCTGATCAGACTATAATTACTAAAATTTTAGAATGTGCAGAAATGGATAGATTAACTTTAGAGATCGAAGAGAAAGAAGACTCTATCTACTTTAAAACATGGGAAAAATTTATCAGTGGTTAGCAATACGATAGAATGAGAAAAGATTTTGAAATTAATTTGATTGAATGTGTTTCTAAGCATTAGTGATTATAACTTATTACTATTTTATTAATTATGGTTATTTAGTAAGATGAATATTATTTATATCTTTTATTCTTATGGTTATTGTTAACCCAGTTTATTATAATTGTTTAGTACTATATAAGTGATGCTTATTTGATTTTGGTACCTGGACGGTAACTTGCTTGTTAAGCATGGATTTTTTGTTGTACCCACCCCCAATTCCCTTGCGTTTACCCTTTCCTATACCCCTATTGATCCCATCCCTTTCTGATCCTTATAAAACCCAATAAAACATTTAATAAATAAATAAAGAGAGGTCCTCGCTGGCCACCCTGCTTCTCCCTCACAGGTTGATCCAGCCCTGTGTTGATGCTGCTTAACTCTACACTTGTCTTGAAAACCCCTGTCATGACTCTTTAGTAGCAGCAGGCAAAGGGTTCAGTCCAGAGTGTAGGCCCCAGCTGTTCTTCCACCAGACAATCCTTCTGCTGGTGTATCCTCCTGATTTTCTGTTCCAGGAAAACAACTTTCCATTAGAGATAATAATTCCTGATAAGCATCTGCATAAAGAGGACAGTACAAAATAATGTGTTCCATTCTTTCAATAATTCCTCCACTGCATGGACTCTAATCAAAGAGGATCTTTTGGTATCTCCTTTCAATTGCAGCTATTGGGAAAGCATTGAATCTGGCCAAAGATAAGGTCCTTCTGCATTTTGGAATTGTTCTGCAACTAAAATATCTGGCTGGTTGGATGAAGTGTGCAGAGTGGCTTAGGAACATATATCTAAATCAAAGCTCCCCAACCTTTCTAGGTTGGCAGCCCGGAGGGACAGGGAGGAGAAGGAAATGTGTGTGTGCGTGCGTGCGTGCGTGCAGGCACAAACAGGTGCACCCACAATGGCAGCATTAGCGCTCATGCGCAAATGGGGGCTCTAGCACCTGCATAGTGGCGCTAGTGTGAGGGGAGTGCACGCACTTACCAGCCATTCCCACAATCTGGTGGCCAGGCTGCAGCACACAGGTTGGAGACCCCTGGTCTAAATAGAGCTGGTAAATCTACTTGCAGCTCTAAATTAATGACCCGATCCTCAGGTTGAAATTTAGCAGGATTTTGTTTTCCTTCTCTGTGCTAACTACTATTCTCTTGAGCTGTTAAGATATAATATAATACATTTTGATAATTCCACCTAACTTTCATTTTATTGTTTTTCCTGTCACTTGAGATAAAGCATTTCATACAGTGTAGCTGCAAATACCTCTGTACGATTATTCGGGATATTTGAGAGGTGAAGTGAAACCCTCTGATTTCCCATGCCTGGAAAAATGACAGTGAAGGATATCACTGCATGTCTAAGCCCTGTGGACCTTCCTGCTTGCAAAGATTCTAATCCATTTAGAAGGAAGAAGTGCAAGGGAACAATAAGCATATTCACCTGAAGCTTGGAAGCATGTTAAGATACTTGTGTGTAACCAGAAACATGGAAACATTTAAATCAGAGCTGTCTTGTCTACCTCACCTACCATCCTGAAGCTAATGGCACGTCTGGGGCTCCAGCAATCTTTGACTGGGACAGCAGAGAAGCCCAATCCAGGAGAAGCAAAGGGTTGGGATACTCCTTTGTTGGCTTCTGAAAACTCTGTATATGTAGGCCAGGGGTCTTCAAACTTGGCCCTTTTATGACTTGTGGACTTCAACTCCCAGAATTCCTCAGCCAGCATGCCTGGCTGAGGAATTTTGGGAGTCGAAGTCCACAAATCATAAAATGGCCAAGTTTGAAGACCCCTGATGTAGGCCATAGAGCAAAAGATGAATGCACAACTCTCAGTTGTCTTCTGCTAACATAAAAGATTTGTTGAAAATTTCTGTATTAGAATGAACCTTTAATAAACTCTTGAAAAGCTGGCTTTTAAAACTGCAGGAGCTCCCATTGAGAGAATAATTTTGGAACTATGCTACTATTTTTTCATTTTATACACAAGCACATAAGTATGTGTGTTTATTGATTGATTTATTGGGTATACACACACACACACACACACACACACACATCCACATTTAAAATTATTTAATAGTTTAATACTTTAATAGTTTCATGGACGTACAAAGATGTATATTGATTTACCAAAAAGGTTTAAGATGGAATCTGTAGACATCTATATAAAATTAATGGGGTAAAAAGTGAAAAGCTTTCTTCTCACCAGATAAAGAATAGTTAACTACATTTTAAATATGTTAGGGATGGTTAAATTCAGCAGCAGTAGAAAAAAAATAATTAAAGTTAGTTTATTAGGAAATATTGTGGATAGGAATTGACTTGTACATAAATACCAAGTATTAGATGGATTTTTTAAAAAAAATAGTAGCAGTTTCCCTTTCTTTTCTCATACATGGACACATTGCATTTTTATTTTTGTACAATATCAGAAACTAGCTGCTCTGCCACGTCTTGGAGAAAAAAAAAAAGTTGTGCTATGCCCAAGGTCAATAAATCCTTACACATTAAGCATCATCCGGGCAGAGCTGTTCCTCCTGAGACGTTCACATTATTTTACCATCTAGGAGGAATGCTGGATTATTGTTATTGATACTTGCACACCAGAACAACTAGACACAGTTTCCCCCCCCCTTGCTATCACTCTGCTAAACAATTAATTCCCTATAACACTGTCAAACTATTTAGTAATGCTGTATTACTATTATTCTTCTAATCTTTCCTATTACCTATCTCCTTACCTACTTATGACTATAACTTTGTTGCTTATATCTTATTATTTATATTGTTTTATTTAGTTTCCTAGTACAATTTATGTTGATTGCTTATTTAGTATCCTATGACTATCACTAAGTGTTGTATCTTATGATTTAATGATGAATATATTTTTATGATAACTATGATCACAATTTATCACTTATAGCTTATATGTACACGGAGAACTTATGCACCGAAGACAAATTCCTTGTGTGTCCAATCATACTTGGCCAACAAAGAATTCTAATTCTAATTCTACTTATATATTTTATTCATTTTCCAGCATTATTATACTGTGTTAATTTTTTTAATATATAACCCTCCTATGTGCAAAAACAAAATAATTTTTGTTTTAAATGAAATATTAATAGATAAGTAAGTCCCCCTGGAGGAAAAAAATATTTTTCAGTAAATTTGGCTAAGAACACCCTATAAAAACACTAATATACCTTTTACTACATTTGGGGAAATATCCAGATTGCAATTTGCTTACCAATTTCCTGTTTGCTATTTCAATTCTGTTATTTCTTTGGGCCCAAACTCATCGGCTATCACTCAATGGGGTAATTTGATAATCTGTGTCAGCAGAGCAACTTTATTGACAGTTTTCCCACTGAAGTCTCTTAAAAGGCAGATATGTATTTTTCAAAAATTCAAATTAAATAATTTGGTCCTTATGTTTGCTTCAATTTGTGGCCTTTTTCAGAGTATCTTTGTGGGATTCACTGTGACCCTGGCAGATCCTTCTTCCACACCCCTGCCTTATTGTCAATGTGGGACCTGCTATGACAGTGATGGCGAACCTTTTAGAGACCGAGTGCCCCAAAACTGGCCCCGCCCCTGTTCTGCCCCCACCCTACCCTCCGCCCTGCCTTCCTGCAGGACCACTCACCGCCTCCAGAGCCCGCCGCAAATTGCCCAGGCAGCCCAGCAGCGCCATGGCGGCCATGCCCTTTGCCCGCACCCTGCAGCCTCAACTGTGCGTGATGGGGCATGAGGGCAGAGTCTTGTCTACACTGCCTGGCTGCCATGTCCTTGGCTGTGCTATTCCGCGTGGGCCACGCTCAGGGGTGAGTCTCCTCCAGGGGGGCTGCTGGTGAGGAAGGGGTCATGGGGGGAGGCAAGGCTGGGCCAATAGCACGTGTGCCCACAGAGAGGGCTCCGAGTGCCACCTCTGGCATGCGTGCCATAGGTTCGCCACCATTGTGCTATGAAGTCATGGAAAGGAATTCTGAACCAGCCCTCCTGGAAGCTGATGGTTCTCCAAGTGGTGCATTCAGACCCATAGGCAGTAGTTCTCAGACAATGAAAGCCATCTCTCCATGTACAGCTTGAAACTAAACTGAGCTGTTCTTAGAAGCTCTTCCCTGATTTCTCTCTTTCTCTCCCTGGTTCTATAGGTGAGGAGACCAGTGGCTCCGGTAGTGGAAGTGGATGTACAGATGACATTTGTCCAACAGAGTTTGAATTCATCACCACAGAAACTCCTCTCATTGACTCAGACAGGAGGGAAGTGGACTCTTCAGCCAGCCAGCCCAGCCCATCCATCCTCACGGGCTTCCTCCTTCTTATGGTCTTTCTCCTGCAAAGACACTGCAGATAATCCTGGCTCTGGTCAGCCCTGACTGCCTTTTAGCTATTGAAAAAGAGCAGAACAGCCAGTTTGCTCCTTTTCTGATGCCCTCAGACAATGGACCACACCACCAACCCTACCAGAAAGAAGCAGCCCTGCACCCTGCCCGCCTTGGCACTTTCACAAAGAGTGGCGGGGCCTAGAAGAAGCTCTTCTGGTTTCCATCTGTGGAACACAATGTCTGCTTCTCAGCGATCTCTTCTCTCACACTTTTATTCTTAGAAGACTTTTCAGAATATTGTTTGCTTTTATGCTTCAGAAAGAAAGGGGGGGAGAGATTTAGGGGGCCCGACATGGGCTTTTATTTTTATTTTTTTCCATTAGAAAAAAAAGAAGAATGGGAAGAAGAAACATGCTGAAAATAAAGCTATTCCAAGGCCGAATAATAAGCACGCACATATCCACACACAGGAAATCCAAGCCCTCTTATCTAGGACACTTCTGTATTTCACTTCAAATCACCAAAATGATGTTAGTCACTGAGAGAATATCTTGGCGTCTGGTGGGGTTGGGGGTCGGTTTTTTGGGGTTTTTTTGTAACCCAGGTGTAACTATGTTTATTCTTAACTGTAAATGGAAGAATTGGCGTACAGGTTTCAAGCAAAAATAGGACATTTTCTGAGAGTAGTACCTTCCTGTCCCTTTGCTCTCACCAGTTTCTGTTTGCCATTTAAGGCTTTTGTTGCAATTGGTTTGACCCATGTTACAACATGGACACAGGAGTGCCCTATGAGGCATCTGCAGGATGGTGTCAAAAAAATAAAAATGCCAGCCATGATCATGTAATCGAAGCCCCTCTTCTTTTTAGAGGCCTACCGTATTCATGGATTGCACATAAAAAGGGGTGGGGCTTCAATCACATGGCTGGACCCCAATCTAGGCATTTTAACAATGCAGATCCCTTTATCCCCTATCGCCACCCATCTGCAGTAATTTTTTAATAATTCTTGAATTTAATTTAAAACATTGGACAAACCTTCCATTTCCCCCCACACACACACGAATCTCTTATGATATACAGTAATCTTTCTTTCTTACTTTCACTTTTGACCTCGAACAGAATTTTCTGAACCTGTGCTGTTTGACATACCCGAATGGCCTATTTAAAAGAAGCCAATAATAGTAATTGGATCAATATCTTAACTTTTCATAGAAGCAACTCTCTTCATATTGTTTATTGTATCAAAAGGGAATCCTATTGCTATACTATTGACACTCCTACAAGTGCACGCACTCACACAAATATCTCTCTATATACATATATAATATATATAGTATTGACACTCCGAATTTCTTTCACTTTTTTAGTCTTAGTATGGCCATCTATTTTTATATATATGAATATAAATATAAATATATATATAAAAATCACAGATTTTAACTTCTTAATTACAAGCTCAGGGTTGACACATCTTTGTAGGGGGAAAATGTTTTGTCAACCAGCTTTTTGTGCGTATGTGTTGCTTGGGTAAATGTCATCCTTTCACTATTGACAAGTGCAAAAGTCAAACAGGAGACTTTCTGCCCATTTCTTTATAGCAGGAATATGCAATCATTTTTTTTTCAGATCTGCAATTTATATTTGGTCTTTGAATAGTATGATGTCATGGAACAGCATACACGGTGGACATATACGGAGCCCAGCGGTGAAAAAAATCTTTTTAATCACATTTTCATTAAAATAAGTTAATTAAATTCAATTCAAATACAGGTAGTTCTTGCTTAGTATCTGCCTTGTACAGCAACTGCTGTTACTCTGATGAAAAAATAACGTTGCAACTAATCCTCCCATTTATCATCTTAGCAGGTCTGAAAAACAAAGGAAGCTGACGTAAGATCATAAGTGCAATTGCAGTTTCATTTAGTGAACGCTTCACTTAATTGCCAGCTTCAGCTGTGGTTGCTAAATGGGGATTACCTGTATTCCCCATATATTTGATAATTTCCACCTTCGGTCCTGTTAAGGTATCAAACCAAAGTAATTTTGGAAAGTCATCTAATCTTTGAGGGTTTGCATAAGTTCCACATGGACAGGGAAAGTGTCCAAAGAGTCAAGGGTGCTTTTTTGTGATGTCACATATACAATGCATGTAAAAAAGGGACGTTGACCACACCGTTGCAATCACTATCTTGATTTTTTAACAAACTGCCCATGGAAGCCCCTTGCAGAGCTAACTTCAAAGTCATGCATCTGTGGGATACAGACATATGCAGAACAGCTTGATTTGGTGATGATGATTGTACTCTTATGTGCTTTCCTTTAAAGTTAATTAACTGCAAAAGATTTAAAATATCTGCAGGTTGCGTCTGGATAACATGATCCGATGTGAAATTGTAATCTACTCTTATGTGATCCTGATGATCGTACTTCAGGCTTGTTCATAAGATCCATAAGCCAAACCACTTAGACATTCACTTTGATTTCAAGAAAACTGAAGTAGGAATTTATTTAAATAATCAGAACTGTACTGGTCTCATTTCCTTTCCGCTCAAAATTCAAGTCTAAGTTCCATCAGGCTTCTCTTCCTTTGAGCAATATAATCTATAACGGAGGTGAGGAGCGATGTAATTGCTACATTCCAAACATTTGGGAATTAGAAACCAGTCTCTTGTAAACCTCCTAGGGAATAATTAGTAGATCCAAAGCTGATTTCTGCTCAGCCTGCCATACAAAGAACAAAAACCTTCCTACCGGTCTATGACTTTTAACTCTTCAAAGCTGTACCCTCTAGTCAAGCTAGACTGCAGGACATCACAAAGTTTTCTAGGAAAAAAGACAGAAATAGTTTGCCATAGTTCTCTTCTTTGCTGTCGATGATTTCCCTGTGAGTCCTGTGGCCATCATGGTCTCCCATCTGAGTTGTAATCAGGATCAGGCACACAAAGTTTCTGATTTCAGACAGCAGCAGCCACTTGCAAAGACTCAGATATTGGTGAACTGACCTTGTGCTAGGAGAGAAAATGTCAATCACATAACTGCCTTGAATTCTGCTGACTGTGAAAGTCTAGGACAGTGGTTCTCAACCTGTGGGTTGGGACCCCATTTGGGGTCAAACGACCATTTCACGGGGGTCGCCAAACAAGGCTGTCCGCCATTTTCCCCCCTTTTCTTTGGCCACGCCCCTGGCACCCGGTGATGTATAAGTGGTTGGGGGTCACCACAACATGGGGAACTGTATTATGGGGTCGTGGCATTAGAAAGGTTGAGAACCACTGGTCTAGGAGTTGAAGTCAACAGATCTTAAAATTATGAAACATTGATCTAAAAGATGCTAAAAGTCAATTATGATGAAACAATCACAAATGTGGAAAAAAAGTGTTAAGACTGTCATCCATTAACCTGCCCATTGTAGCATCCTCTATTCACATTTGTACAATGATTTACTGATGTTTTCTGATCAGATGTCTCCTCTGATTAATTAACTACATTCACTTTTCTCAAGATTAAGGAACAAATTAAGTTTCCACATTCCAAGATTTCTTGCAATACTTTTTATTTTCTGACATTACCCAATTTTTAAAAAATATATATACTTGAATCTTCCTCAAGCTATTATCTCCTAAAATGTAGTTCTTCTGATTCCCAGCAGGCATATTAAACATGTCCAAAAAACATGTTTTTATATTGTTTTAACATTAAGGTTGAACACCTGGAAGGTGTATGAGGAAGTGCTGCTGTTTGGATTGATCCTCAGCTGTATGTGGTTATTCAGTTATATGGTTACTCTTTGTACCCTTGAGTACCATTCTGTCCTCACTTGTCACTGATGCTTCTTAGCTAGGGTCCAGCTATGCTGAAATGGATGTTGTGTCTCTCCATTAACAAAGATTTGGCCCAAATTTGAACAAAACCTCTGATCTCATTGTATGCCTGGTTTTCCATGGCTGATTTAACTTGAGAGTAACAGGCACAGCCTGAGCTTTCTAAAGAAATATTTGTTTCTGAGCAATAGTAAGATCAGCCCAAAGAAGATGCCAAGAGCTAAGTCATGATCCTAGTTCCATCTCCCAAACCAGAGCTGATGCTGACAGGTGTTGTTAAATAACACGGAACTCAGAAAGCATGTCTCCATTTAATTGTCTTGACTGTGTGAATTATCATGTGAGCTAAAATCAGGAATGAATTTGTCCCCTCATATTTCTCTGTTTACTTCTTCACAGTAGGTACCATGACTGCTTTGTGTAAGATGTGCACAAGGTTGTCAAATACCCCCTAGAGGTTAAATTGTCTTTTTCTCATATGTCACATTGCCTTGGAATGTGAAAGAGCTATTAAATCTACCAAGTGTGTTGAATTTCAGAATTAGGAAATAAAAATGTAAAAACTTGGTGCTTCTTAAACACATGTATTCTATATTATTTGATGTGCTTTTCTTTACCTGGCTTATAATAATTGTATTCCAGAAATACTAAGATATTGTTGGGTCACAATGCAAAAAACAAAGACCCTTCTTGATGGTCCAGTACAACAAACAACGCTTAAATTGGTTTCCAGTGAATGTTCCTTAAGAAAGTTTGCTCTAGTCAGTGTAGCAGATTTGAAGTCTTGCACAGGTACCATGGGTGTGGTAAGATAGCAGCAGGTGTTAAAGTAAACCTTCAGCTTCCCTTATCATTTTAAAGAAGTAACAGCAATAAACATTCCTAAAATGAACATTTATGCTGCTTCTTCCATAAGAAAAATGTGTTAGTCACCCCCTCTGGCCTAAATAAAAAGATTCTTAGATTCTTCTTTTTTTAAACAGGAAGATATTGGAATTCAGGAATCAGTTTTCTGGGGCATAAGGTACTCTCTTTTTATATTTTCAGCCAAATAATCATTTTAATTCCCAAAACTTCAGTAGCTTCTCACATTAGTATCAACTAGATGTTTTCAGCTCTCTGCTAGTCCCTTTCACAAGCTACAGGCTCCATCAAGACCATCATCTAGCAGTTATGAAAAGTCTCTTGGTTCAACAGAAGAGTTTTTTTCAGCCCTACATAAGATTTCCAGTTAATGGCTGGTTAATTCTTACTTCAGTATTATTATATACACAACAATGCAAAATCACAGCTCCCAGTTCTTAGCTGGTGTTCTTCCCTAGGAACCTAGGGAGGTGTAATGTATCACTGACTATATAAGTCATGTGAAAAAGAAAATATACCCTCTTTGAATTCTATGGTTTTATACCTCAGGACATAGTAAAAATCATCTGGTCCTTAGCAGTTCTTAAAAGTAGGTAGATACAACCTCAGATGAATAACGCATAACATATTGTACCATATGATCATTTGTTTTACAAAAAGAAAGCCAAAAGGGAGAAGCTGTGTATTAAAAACTAAGTACACCTTACGATTCAATAGCTTGTAGAACCATCTTTAGCAGGAATAACTTGAAGTATTCGTTTTCTGTAAGACTTTATCAGTCTCTCGCCACATTGTTGTGGGGGAATTTTGTCCCACTCTTCTTTACAACATCACTTCAGTTCATTGAGGTTTTTGGGCATTTGTTTATGCACAACTCTGTTGAGATCCCCCCCACCAGCATTTCACTTTGACTGGGCTCATTGCAACACCTTGATTCTTTTCTTTTTCAGCTATTCTGTTGTAGATTTGCTGGTGTGCTTGGGATCATTATTCTGTTGAATGACCCAATGAGCTTTAATTGTCAGACAGATGGCTTCACATTTGACTCTAGAATAATTTAGTATACAGAAGAGTTCATGGTCAACTCAATGACTGCAAAGTGACCAATCCTATGGTTGCAAAACAAGCCCAAATCATCACCCCTCCACCATCATGCTTGATCATTGATATTTATGTGCTAATATGCTATGTTTGGTGTTTACCAAATGTGGCTCTGTGCAAGCCTTTTCATTTTGGTCTTCTCTAGCCAAAGGACCATGTTCCAGAAGTCTTGTGATTCATTCAGCTGCAGCTTTGCAAACCTAATCATGCTGCCTGTTCTTTTAGAGAGAAGAGGCTTTCTCCTGGCAATCCTACCAAATAAACCACACTTCCGCAGTCTTTTTCTACTTTTACTGTCATGAACTTCAACATTTAAGATGCTAATTGAGGCCTGTAGAATCTGAGATGTAACTCTTGGATTTTTTTCAGTTTCTCTGAACATTGCACCATCTGATCTTGGGATGAATTTGCTGGGGCATCCACTCCTGGGAAGATTGGCAACTGTCTAGAATGTTTTCCACTTGTGAATAATCTTCAAATGACAGTCAAATTATGGGCTTTAAATTGTTTGGAAATGACCTTATAACGCTTCCCAGATTGATGGGCAGCAATGGTTGCTTCTCTAAGATCATCATTGATGTCTTTTCTTGTTAGCATTATGTTAACACACATTTCTATGCTAGAGACTGGCAAAATCCTAAAACTTTGGCTTTTATAGAGGTATCACAGTAACTGATGATCAATTGATCAAGGGCATTTGATTAGCAGCACCTGGCTGCCTCTTAGCCTCTTCATACAGTATCTACTGTATGGAAATAGTAAGGTTGTACTTAGTACTTAGTTCTCCATTTTGGCTTTCTTTTTGTAAAATAAATGATGACATGGTGTGATATGTCATGTGTTGTTTATCTGAGTTTGTGTTTACCTTTTGTAATTGACAGATAGGAATTTTGTCAATTATTTTGTAAGATTTTCTAAGTACTATCCAAGATGTTTTGGTATGGCACCCAGCATGCCGGTAACTACTGGGACCACCATGGCCAGTTTTTGGTATAATCTTTTAATCTTGATTTTCAGAACTTGATACTTTGGGATTGCCTTCAATTCTTTGTCTTCTATTCTATTATCTCCTGGTATTGCCACGTCAATTATCCACGCATTCTTAAATGTTAAATGTAGTATGTGATGAGTCACCCAAGTGCTATGCAATCAGCTATGTTCCCCAATAGAATAATTTGGCGGGCTTTCTAGCAAAACACTCAACCCTTTAAACTAACTGATAGAATGACCTTGGTTCCCATGTGACCCAGAATTGTTTAGATTAGCAAAAATACTCCACACCCCCTCCCATTCTTGTGGCAACCTAGAACAAGCAAGATGGTTTTAGCCAGGTTCATTGCAGAGTTGACAACAGGGTTCTCAGATGTTGGAGAATTCTCAGGTTTATTTCTTCAGAGGCTTTGGTATCTATTGTCCATGCAGTGACTATTCACATTCACACTTACAGAAAATAAATGTAGACCAGCCTGAAGTTCTTTATATCTCATTGCTGTGTGGCACTGCCACTTTATTAAATAAATAAAGAACTAGAATAGCTTCTAATGTATTTGAGAAAGCCAAAAAGTTCTAAGGAACCCAGCTAAAGAACTGGGCAATTTTCTAGCTTAGCCTTTCCCAACCTAGTCATATTCTGATGCAAGAGAATTCAATTCAATTAATTAATTTCTGCTGAGGGGGGTTGGACTAAAGACCTCCAAGGTCCCTTCCAATCCTGTTATTCTATGTTCTGTGGGTTTTTTAAATTCCCAGCCTACTTGACCATCTCCACAGCTGAGGAAGGCAGTCATATAGTTGCCTTTTGAGAAGAGATTCTTTTTCTTAATCAATAATCAGAGGAATATACCTATACTTCTCTCATAGCCTGTGACAAGTTGGCCATATGTACCACAGAGGAAATGTCCCCAGATGATTAGGCACTAAAGAACCTCACTTCCCTGCATTCCCAACCATAGTTGGTCAGTAGAAATACACATAAGCAAGATATTGTTTAGTTATGGGATTGCTTGCACAGCTCTCTTTGCCTTGGCTACGAGTTTCATTCAAAGAGTACAAAATTGTTCAGGGAATTAGTACTTTTTTTTTCTTTTTATGGTTCACCTAATAAGCAGGAGATCTTTCATTTTCACTTAAGAAGTCATTATGATACCTACTGGCTGAATCATACATCACTGTCATAAGACTTGAGTGCAAACAAATTGCCAAAAGCTAACTATAATAAAGACAATCCTTTGTTATAAATCTTTCTTTATGAGTCACTGTGCCATAAGATGATATGAGTAAAAGAAGTAGCCTTGCATGTTTTACAGCTTTAGTCCTAATAGACCAAACCAGCCTGCGTTTCTTTTCTGTTCATATATATTCTGTTCATATATTCT